AACTCCTCGTCTGGGCTCCTGACTCTGCTGCCTTTCTACTGCTACTCCTTGACTCCTTCTTACTGCCGTCTTTCAGCCGCACCCCTAATGTTATGGTTGGTAAGATCTAACTCCTAGCCTTCTCAGATAAGGGGAAAAAATAATTTTAATCTAGGAGGTCCCTTAACTGTGCAAGTTGCGCACGTCAAAGATCCCTTGGTGGTCCTAAAATCGATAAAGGTAGACATCGGCCGTCACCTGGGCAAAGTTCAAAATTAATTCCTTCTAAACTGAAAATACCTAAAATGACCCACACACTCACATGACCGTATGCAGTTGCAAGCGCTGCAAAACACTTATGAGAACAAAAGGGATTCGAATCTAGGACACCCACACTGCCGCACAATACGGCAAAAGCTGAAATAACAACACATCCCACATCAATTTACCAAATTAACAACTGCTTGCAAAACGCTTTTGATGTTCTTCTGTAAACATTCGATACATAACGAAGACAGTTTTTTATTCGAAAGGACCCGCTAATCATGACACACCACAGTTTTAATTAAAGCCCATCAGAAATAGATCTATATACCTCAATAATTTCCAAATTCTGAACGAACACTCAGGAACAAGAGAATTAGAAATCAGCAGCCCGTCTCACTGAGTTGGAGTAACAAGTAACTGTGAAGCAAGAGGTACGTGTGGCATTCCTTACACTTATAATAGGCCAAGCTGCTGCGTGTTATCTCCAACCGGTGGTGCAATCTGCGCAAAACTGAAAGTGAAAGCTGAGAATGTGCTGGATTCCGCGAAGCATGTGTTGTGAATGATAAATTATAGACAGCAAAATTACAGAGCTTCGATCTACGACACTGACATGCAAGCACTGCAACAGAATCTGCGCTTCAAGCATAGGAAGAATTAGCCATGAAAGAAGCAGCATGAGGACAACCTTGAGACCATCTTAAGCTAAAGTGATCGTCTGCATGGACGAAAAGAGCCATATGTAATGGAAGGCCCCTGCACTGAAGAAGAAGACATTACCCAGATTTCTTTCAAGTTCTCATATCGTGATATCACCGGGCAGCCTCTAAGCTTCTCGGGTCATCTGTTATGATAAAAGCAGCAGCAACCAAAAAGCCAAAATGTGGGGTTTATGCGTGCGTACGTGCGTGTACGTGTGTGTCTGTAGACACAAGGTATGTGTAGGTTTGTGTGTGTGTGAGTGTGTGTGTGTGTGTGTGTGTGTGTGTGTGTGTGTGTGTTTGTGTGTGTATGTGTGTGTGTGTATGCACGTGCGTGTATGTGTATGTGTGT